GCTACTGTTGCGTCTGTGTAAATAATCAAAGCCAGTAAAACCGCGTGATAGAAGTCTTGGTGATGGTTGAAGATAGATCGGTTAATCCACAATGTGTGTTCATATCGTGTTTCACATGTGAGACGCAGGCGTTTGACTATGCTTCCATAAATGGACCTGTGTAGATGAAAAAATGCCAGGGCCGAAAATGGTTCCCAGTCCAGGAAATCCCTGCGCCACCTCTGGACCCCGGAAACTTCCTGACGCTCTCGAGTAGTTTAACAGAAATACTAGCGAGCATCTCCTGACTGAGCAGAGAGCAGCTGCTGGATGTGGAAGCAGAGTTCCTTCACCTTCTCCAAGCTGCTCCTTGGATTGTAGGATCTCATTGCTTTTCTTACCTTCATCCCTAATTCCGTTCATCTCATCGTTGCTTCACGCCGCTGAATAAATTCTGCATGTTTTTGCCTGTATCCTGGAGATGGCATCTCCAAAAGGCTCATAAAGCCTGCTAAAGCTGATTAAGACACATCCTGGATGAACTGTAGCTGTAATTGCCAGAAAATAAGGATTAAACAGGGCTGATTACAAGCACTTCACACTTTTCAGATTTAGAAATCTCAAAAAAAAGGCATGTCCTACTTCATCATCACCTGCTATTTAAATAAGTGAATCTCCTGCTGTAAAATAACAAATTGCACAAAACGTTTTTGCAAAAGAATCTATACTTTTGAAAGGAACTCAGTAATTACTGTCATGCTGATGTCTGCAAGTGAAGACACCCTGAAATAGTTTCTGATGCTCTTAAAGAAAATAGCATTTGATAAATCAATGCATACCCCATAAATCTTTCAGGATGATAGTGAAGCAATGACGCCAAAATGTGACAAAGCTTTAAGGAATGTTCTCCGGCATTTTTTACATTTCTGTTGCCTGACTTCTTCTCTCAGCCCAAATATTTCCACGCAGCCTTCCTGAGGGCCAAAAGCACGTTTTATGAAGCAGCAGAGGAAAACAAAGCAATGCCTTGTGGGTTTTCTACTAGCGGTGAAGTCAGACCTAACGTACAGGATGGGAAACCCAGGAAATGAGAATCTGCCAGGAAAGTTAGAGCGATTCTTCACTAAACAGGCTCCATAGTCAGGTCAAGGTTGGCTTTTCTTCACACTAGTTTGAGTCAGAAACTCCTGCTTAGGTGATTTCAAGTTGCACAAAAAGCAGCAGCTGTTTCATCAGGACACAGAATGGAACTATAAGAATCCTCCATTAGCCTATTTTCACCAGTTCTCAGTCCATTATGACTCTAAATGAAATGACATCATCTTACCTGTCTGGAACTTCTGCACCTTTAACCAAATGGATGCTGGACATTCCCACATCCTTCCAGAACTAGAAATGACCACAATGTTTCTTGTTTTTTTTCTAAACAATAATCATTTAAAGCCAAATTTGAAAACCAACAAATTTAGATTTTAGTGAAATTTGAGCAGAACCTTTTTTGTTTTAACCTACACTCTTCTCCTAAAGTTGATGTTAAGAACTGAATTATATTCAACTCTGCAAAATATGTTCCTAAAACTGTCAGTAAAAATATTTAAATTCTATTCACTTTATTTCTATAGCGCCAATTCACAACACGTCATCTCAGGTCACTTTCCAGTTCACCAAATCATCCAGTCAGGTTTATTCAAAGTTTTCTATCTAAGGAAAACCAGGTGATTGCATCGACTCATTGACTCTTCAGCAATCCCTCACACTAAGCATGCTTAGAAAGAGAACTAGTTTAAATCGTATCTATCTGACCGATTTCAGTATGTTTACGTTAATGATAAACCTTCTTCCTGCTCCAGGGTTACCTGTGGAGTACCACATGGATCAGTGCTAGGACTAATTCTCTTTACTACACTAGAAAATATAAAAATCTTAAAATAAGTGCATTTGGTCTTGGATCGAGGAAGTAAATGAGACATTTTGCCGCCAACGGAACAAGACAATTTACACTTAAAATAAGAAAACAATTCTGTTTCACCTCTCCTGTGGAACCAGTTTTAGTCCGTGAGGTAGACAACCTGTCTACTTTTAAGGCTAGGCTTAAAACTTTCCTTTTTGATAAAGCTTCTAGTTAGAGTGGCTCAGGTTATCTAGAGCATCTCTAAGGTTCTCTAAAATTGGCCAAGCTCCATCTAATATCACAGATCTGATTGTTCTTTATGTTCCCAATAAGTGTTTTTGTTTTGTTTTTAATACTCAGAAAGCTCATCCTAAATGTTGGTTGAGTGAGTGGAGGTGTGAGCGATCATATGACCCCTGACCTTTATCTCATCTCCATAGAAGTGGGTCATGGTTGAGTCTGCCACAGCCAGGGTTTCTATGAACCGTGGCTCTGAAACGAAGCGTCTGCGTCGAGCTTCCCTCCGTGCGTCACCGCTGCCGCGCGTAAAACTTTCCGCTCCGCGCGCCTCCGCAGAGCCATCAAACAAGAGGGGGAGCGCGGGGCTGTCGGCGGCTGTCCTCCTCCTGATCACATGCAGCCGCTCGGCAGAGTCCGGCCCCCGGGCGCTGCGCACTTTGGGCTCGATCAGATACTCCTTCCCCTCCGTGATGAAGGAGCCAAAGATGCCCGAACACAGACTAACCGCTACGAGCGAGTTCTGGTCCTCACCCACGTTACCGGAGTAAAAGCAGCTTTGCAGCCGTCCTCCGCTCTCCTCTGTCCGGTTCATGGGGCCCCAGGGGCCGGAGCGCAGGTCGGCTCGGGCACCTGAGCCGCTGCGCAAAGCGCCTCCATCCGCGGCTCTAATGCGCTGGATGGTGAAGGACGGCGATAGAAAGCTGGAGTCCGGGATGAGGTTGAGAGTCAGGTTCCTGCCGAAAGCTCTGAGCGTAAACACCGGGTTCTCCTCGCTCCTTTTCCAGAAGCGCCCTCTGATTCGGCCGTTCATCCTAACAGGTACAACATCCTCCGATTCAAAGCGGGAGGCGAGCGCTCCGCTGAACCAGCAGAGGAACCAGGAGGCGAAGCAGGCATAGATGCGCATCTTCTGGCTGCAGCAGGGGAGAAATGAAGCGTAATGTTTAGGAAGCGGTGCGTCCGGCCTGTTTCTCAACTGTCTGCGTTCCTCTAAGCAGTTCCACTGCAGTCTGGACACATCAGGGGTATTTATATGTCCTGCTCTTCCCTCAGACAGGACGGGGTTTATTTCTGATATCCCTACTTGCTGGAAATTCTCCTCCCACCAGCGCTTCACCAGAAAGTAGCGGAAAAAACCGCACGGATCCAATGAGAGGAGGCCGATCCTTGGCCCCGCGCCTGACAGCCGCGCTCCTATTATTAACCAGCGCTGCTATATGGCAGCACTGGACCTTTATATACAAGGATACACATAACTGGAAGTCTGCCACGCGAGTTATTTTGGAGCCATGTGAGAGTGACAGGTCCCACTCACCGGGGAGAACTGCCACAACAACCACCTTAGAAATAGAATCATCCCATTATTCGTTATCTGCTGATCTATAGAACCGTTCTATAGAACAGCACCGGTTTGGACCCACAGCCTGAACATGTGTCCATCTGCAAAGAATCAATGCTGTATGCAGGGGCGGGTTTAGGAAATATGGGGCCCTAGGCAAAGACAAGC